GCTCTGCATTTTTGCTTGCCAAGCTACCAAATCTCCTTGTTTCCAAGGTTCATGTCTCACCACGGCTTGGATTGCAGGGACCTCTGGCGGGGCTCCTGGTCCAGCCCTAGGGTTTGGAATGTAATCCAATTTCATGGGATACATTCCAGTCCCTTTTGAGGTAGAATTATCATCGTCTGCCTGCGGAGCAGAAGGAGCAAAGGGAGCAGAGGGTGATAATCGACCTCCATTATTATGATTACCTGCAGGTTTCCTTCTTTGTTGGGCCCAATTATACCAAATATACCAATAACCAATGTCTTGAGTTCCTGCATCTTCTAGAATTATTCACAAAAAATTTAACTTATGTATCTTAAAAGTTCCCTTAGGGAGCCACACATCCATAGGTCCCCCTCCTCTAGTTCTGGTGAGAAATGGCCATTCCTCTTGACATAATAATATCAATTTCATTTTCTGCAAAGTCTGAGACAATGGAATCTTACTCCAATTTTTTAAACCTCAGCAAGGGGCGTCCCCCTTTCAATGCTGGGTGTAGTTCTCGTATCAAATAATTCAAGCAAAATTTAAACACTAGAGAAAATCTCAGTAATCAGTCTGAACACACTCAAGACCAAAAGCTCTTGGACTCACCTAGACCTTTTGTTTTGTGCCGGCACTTTGAGCGTTGGTCTCGGGTGTTCCCAGAAAAGATCCTGAGTATCCGTCTCCTGTGTCCTAATGCCCCACCTGGGTCGCCAAATTCTGTTAAAGATTTTATTCTCACACGAGTGTGTAACACTAGGTATTGCTTTATTCACAACTCAGAGTTGGGCCGTCACCTCAGTGAGTGGCAAAGCTTAACTCGCTAGACCAGTTTATATATATTTATTAAACCGATTACATCAAGTCTAGAATCTTCATAAGTTTCTAAGCAACCGTTCCATTCCTTTAAGTACGTCATTTATTAAGTTCTTTCTATTCTTCTGTCTTCATAGAATTCTCCCTCGCTGGTTTCAGGGTCATCTCGGAGTCATTGTCTGTCCTTCATCTTCTTCTGTGATTTCTGTTTGGTACATTCCGTACAGTTGGTTTCTATCCCAACTGCAACAAACCGATTGTATGGTTCCTTAGCACAGCTGTGTTCACACAATTGAATCTATGTTCTAGTTCTACGATTTTATTCTATTCTATAATTGATCTTCTTTATAATCAATCTCTAATAAAAAAAAGCCCAGAACGTACCAGTACAATGCAGCAGTGGCTGAAAATGGAAGACAAAAGTGCCTGTGAAAACTGTTTCATTGAAGCAGGGCGTGCTGATGTCCCTTTAAGTACACACACAGCTATGAAAACCAGAGCTGAATCTGCAGCGTCCTCTGCAAGTCCCAGCACTGCTGTGGGGCAGGACAGAAAAGTCAGTTGTGCTGTTTGCCGGGCTGAGGGTTTGGAGTCTGAAATAAATGAACACCTGGACTCTGGTCTTGCATAAAACCCCTGGGAAGGCTGTCTCGTAAAGATAAACCAGGGCTGAGCACACTGCTTGTAGACGGCTTTGCTCAGGGTGCGCTGAGCTGTGGTTCCCTCCCTGTGTGCCTGCTCTGAACTGGGATTTCAGCTGCTGTCGGCGTGCTGAACGACAAGGTGCGTGGCGCCGCACGTCGGCGCTGACGACGGAGCGAGCTGTGGCTCGTGTTCCGAGGTGTCGAACGCTGCTCTGTCAGCGGGCGGGTGTTCGTGCCAGGGCCTCGTTGCGGAGGCTGGGCGGATGCTTGCCGAGCGGCGTGTTCTCACGGCAGTTTTTAAAATTCAGACATTTTTAATGCTGCGAATTTATCTTTGTTCTTAAGACACCTTTGTGCTGGGTTTTTTTTTTAAGTGTTTTTGGCCATTCTTACAGAGATTCTCCTGTTCCCTGCCGTGTCACTAACTGGCCGGTGTTTTCAGAACAGTAAAAACGTGGCATAAGCCGGCTCCCCAATGCGGGGAGAGGGCGGGGCCGGAGGCGGGGCCGTGAGTTTTGGGTGGGCGGGGCTTGTTCCGGGGCGGGGCCGGGTCGGACACAGTTCTGGGAGGGGTGGG